CAAGTATCAAGAGAAGATCTCCCAGCTATACAACAGGAGGGTCAAGACTCGAGAATTCCGGATAGGCGACCTGGTCCTCAGAAGGGTAACGGCCAATACCCGGGATCCAACAGAGGGAAAGATGGGACCTAACTGGGAAGGGCCTTACAAAGTAATATCAATCGGGGGCGCCGGGTCGTATGGACTAGAAGATATGAGTGGAAGACCTGTAATACGACCATGGAATGTTATGAATTTGAAGAAGTATTACTTTTAAAGTACTCCTCTCAAGAACTCGCCAAACAAAAGACAAAGGGTATGGCCCTGGGGACAGAGTTCAAGGACTCTCGTCCCCGAAGTACATACAGGAGCAAGCCTCCTGCAAGGGTATGGCCCTGGGGACAGAGTTCAAGGACTCTCGTCCCCGAAGTACATACAGGAGCAAGCCTCCTGCAAGGGTATGGCCCTGGGGACAGAGTTCAAGGACTCTCGTCCCCGAAGTACATACAGGAGCAAGCCTCCTGCAAGGGTATGGCCCTGGGGACAGAGTTCAAGGACTCTCGTCCCCGAAGTACATACAGGAGCAAGCCTCCTGCAAGGGTATGGCCCTGGGGACAGAGTTCAAGGACTCTCGTCCCCGAAGTACATACAGGAGCAAGCCTCCTGCAAGGGTATGGCCCTGGGGACAGAGTTCAAGGACTTGTCCCCGAAGCACATACAGGAGCAAGCCTCCTGCAAGGATGCGGCCCTGGGGACAGAGTTCAAGGACTCCTGAAGCGAATGCAGGAACAAGCATCCATAAAGAACATGGTCCTGGGAGCGAAACACAAGCATTCCAGTCCCCAGAGTAGATACAAGATCTTGCCTCCGGAACGGGCCAGCACGCCCCGAAGACAGTTCAAAGACACTTATGATTTATTCTACACAGAAGTAAAGAAAAGCAAAACACTACTGTACACAGAAGAAGGAAAGGAAAAACTTGCTATTTATTTCCAAAAATAGGGGCTTTGCGTCCCCAAAAGCTACAAAAGGAAAAGGGGTACAAAAAAGGGGAAGTGAAAAGCAGCTTCATCGGGCTCCAGGCACCTCCAGAACTTCGGCCGAGGGCGAATCAGCGATAAAAGGTTGGGAAGCTTCTGGAGCGGGCAGGAGAAGAACTTCGGCAGCAGGAACAGCTGGAACAGTTTGAGCAGCTTGAGGTTCAGGGGCAAGGTCGGACGGAGCGTCCTCGGACAAGTCCACTATCACCGTCTCGGGAGCATCAGCCGAGGTTTGCATCGGTGTAGGGGCTTCATCCTCGGCAGCAACCTGTGCTTCTGCCTGCTCCATCTCTGCCGAGGGCACATACTTGTGCACTTGGAAGAGAGGGGAGTCTGACGGGACTCCAGCAGCCTGGAGCGCCTCGTCCCACCCTTTCTTGAAGAACTCTTTGCTATTTTCTTCAAGAGCGGGGAGCACGTCATCGGCAAACTCCTCCAGAAGTTGTTGCTCCGACTTCCGGTTCAGCTCCTCGGCTCTGATCCTGTCTAGCTCCTGGGTAAGGGCCAGACAGCTTTCCTCGGAGCCCACTGCCCTCTCCTCCGCAGCCGAGAGCCGCTGCGTTTGCTCAGTAATCCTCCTCTCAGCATCGGCAAGTGCGGCACTTAGCTTCTCAGCGCCCAACTTGGCCGATTCAGCGTCCTTGAGGAGCTGCTCTATTTGGGCAGCCTGCCCCGCCAGGGTAGAATCCCTGGCAGCAACATCTTCCGTTGCCCGAGCAAGGGCAGCTTCCGCTTCCCCTTCTGATCCTTGGCCCTCTGAAGGTCCATCCTGGACGCGTGGTACCGGCCAGCAATGATAGAAATCTGCTGGGCAGCCTGTAAAGGAAGGAAAGAGTGTTAAAACACAAAAATAGAAAACAAGAGTGAAGGGATCAAAACGGGAATAAACTCACCACCAGGGAGTTCTGGATCATGGAGCGGAACAACACGTTGGTTGATCGCCCCCGATGAGCCTCCATGTCAGCCTCAAAATGCAATGTCTCACTCACTGCATAGGCGACATGGGGATCCTGCAGAATGGAATCATCGACCCTGATCACTCGGTTCATGTGATCAGTAGCCCGAGGATTCCACACCGCGGCCTCCACTGTGGATGGGAGGGAAGGAGTAGCCTGTTGCTGTTGCTGCTGCTGCTGCTGCTGCTGTTGTCGGGGCTGCTGTAGTTGCTGCTGTTGTCGAGTTTGCTGCTGCGGTTGCTGCTGTTGTGAGGGAGTAGAGGGTAATCCACGATCCCTCCCGCTTTGCTGCTGAGCGGGAGGCACCCTGGGTCCTCGGCTGAGGCCATCGTGCCGATGCTTCACCCTCCTCTCCTCCTCCACCTGAGGGTCCCGATCTCGCACCTGACCCCGATCAGGAACCCTTGATGATGGGGCAGAGCTGGTTCCTGCCGGAGTACCGCCGGCCGTCCCTCGACCTCTCCCGGCTGCGAGGGTTTGCCTCTACCTCTCCCTCTGAAGCCCGATCCGGGTCTTCCTCCAAGTTCTGCTCGACCTCTAGCCTCGCCGCCTGATCAAAGAGCTCTGACCACTGCGAAGGCTCGAAAGGTTGAGGGAGCTGTGAGAACTTCTTATACCCAGGGGTATAGTGCAGCAGATTATGGGCAGCTCGGCCAAATCCGTCGGCGCCCGTGAAACTCCAAACCGTTATTAGGTCGGCAAAATTGACCAGCGACCGAGGGGGTGGAGCTGTTTCCCGAGAAGGAATATCTGCACAACGAAAAAGATTGTCATAAGCATGAGAAGTCCCAAGAAACAAATAAAAAACCCAAAGGAACCGACGTACTTGTCGTTCTCCATTCCCGAGGGCAAAATAAGTCATTGTACTCGGGACCAACACCCCTCTCCCAACATCCCTTGAAGATCAAGATGTCGTCCTTGTACCCCTTGTCCGAGTCAGGAAGATGGGTTACAAGGTACATGGAGGGGTCCCTGGCTTTGAGGTAGAAATGTTGGTGGGGCATGACTCTTAGGAGGGAGTAACAGAAAAGGAGATCATTGAGCCCAATATTCACCCCGAGGCGCCTATTGAGCTCTAGGACCCCCATAATTATCCGAAAGACGTTGAGGCAGCATTGCCCGGGGAAGAGACGGAAGCGAGACAGGAACTGAAGAAGCAGGGGGGGTAAAGGAAACCTAATGCCACCCTCTATGATGGCCTTGGTATAAAAAGGCATGGCATCCGCGGCCCCGAAGGTAGGAGAGTTCCACAAAGGGTTAAAGCCCACCACGTCCACGCTCGGGGGGATGCCATACTTCGCCCTGAACCTATCGATCTGCGCCTCGCCTGTCACCTTGTATTTCCCTGACCCCGAGGGACCAGCCGATGGATTCTCGGGAACAGGGCGACGACGCGGCATCTCTAAAAGAAAGGGAAGGAAAAAGGTGTTCTCTCTTGAAAACCTGAGGAAGTTCCCCGAGGGTTTAAATCAAGACGAACCGACCGGATGACACCACTGTTCAATCGGAAAACAAGAAGGCTAGGGGGACGATAAAGAAGAAGGTTGTGAAACTCACCAGAAGACGTCGAAAACGGAGTTTTTCAGGAAAAACTTTGAAAATAACTCGCACCGGAAGGATCAGGAGTCAACAATGGGTTTTACTGACTGAGGTTTTAAGAGAAGATGCTGTCGACGATGGCTGAGGAAACAAAAACTCCGGCGAGCAGATCAGAAAAGGCGTATTCTGGGTCAGAGATCGGAATGGCAAAACGATAGAAACCGGAGAAGAACCCCCTTTATATAGGGGGAAACTGTCATCATTGGGCGGGAGAACCAAAACAGCGCATTTAATGCGCACGACGTCCCAAGCCGGGGAAAGCTGCTCGAGGCCATAATGAAGGACGGATGGCAGTTGGAAAACCCTTCGTCTCCTTACAACGCGTGTCCTCGGTGTCAGAAGATCGAAGGCTGGGGGGCAGTTGATGGGACTCTTCTGAAAAGCCCTAAGATGAAGACACGTGTCCTCGGGGATTTGGAACAGTGTTGCCCGGATATAAGCACCATCGGCAAAGAACGTCTTTACCCCCGAGGTACCTCTCATATAGGATCACACATTCGGTGTATTATACAACAAACACGTGCCCTTGGTCACCGTGTACCTCGGGGAACATACCACCCTCGGTCCCCGAGGAGATCCTGTCCTCGGTGCCGAGGGTCACTCCATCCTGGACGCTTCCTCTACTCCCGGATAAAGTTACTGACGTACTGGACATCAGCCTATGTCAGTCTGGACTATTCATCATGACCTCTTCTTACACAAGTAATGTCAGAACGTTCTGGAATACCGACGTAACAGCCAATAAGGGATGGACGCGTGGCAAATAATGTCACATCCGAAGCAGACAAACCGCATGCCACTGCTGGCACGCGACTTGGGAAAGCAAACAATTAATTGCACCCTTCTGTTGATGAGACCGCATTCAATGCGGTAAGGTTCGGATATGAAAGATAATAAATGCTCCTATTACAGAGTATTTATTGCATCCTTCCCGAAAGGAGCATATTGTACCGTCGGCGTCCCGACAACTCAGCATTGATTGCTCGGGACCCCGAGCAGTCAATTAGAGAAGACATTCCTCATCAAATGATTACACACGCTACCTGTGCCTGATAATCACCTGTTGACCACACTGACAGCAATCATGAGCTTCTAAGGTATAAATACCCCTCCCAAAAGACAAAGCGGGTATGCAATCACAAACTCTCCACTACAGAATATCCTTCTCAGTGTTTTCTCCTTCCTCTCTCTCATTCAAAGACTGACTAGACCGTCGGAGGGGATACGCCGGAAAACACTCCGGCGCCCTTCTAACTTGTTCTCCTTTGTTCCAGGAAATACCTTCCACACGTACAGGATCGTTCTTCCTTTCCCAAGGTCTTCCTTTGTCGTTCCAGGTTGCCACCGTACCTCGAAGGTTGTTTCGAGCAGCGTGTTTGGCCACTCAACCGGCTCACTCAGAGTTCACCAGGGGAGAGATCTGTTCCCAATATTTTATATATCGTGCAGGATCGAGCCCGCACATTATCTTATGCACATTAGGTCTGCGGTTAGATGAGACTTTGAGAGATAATTATGTGCTATTTCGTTTAATTATGTGTTATTTCAGGTTGTAATCTACAGTAATGAGTTTCCCACTCCTGTTGGAATTCATTTCCACTCATAATTGATACGAGTTGCATCTAAGTTTTCGGAAGAACGTCGATGTGCCAATCAATCGAATTGCCGCCTCCATCACCATGACGCGCATCCCAATCCCAAAGTAGTGAAAAAAACTCTTCATATTACATGGCCTTTCCCTCTTTCAGTACCTGCCTGCCACATGTTAAATGAAATGACGCATATACGATAAGGAACCAATCCTTGACTACGGTATTCCCAAAAAAAATGGTATTATACCGATAAATTTTATTATTTTAATTGATATTTTCATATTTTTGGTGAGTTAAATCATATACAAAACACTTATAATAATAATAAAAATATTTATAAAAATAATAAACAATGACACGACATCAATATTTTTTTTCTGACTAGAGTACGGAAATTTAAGATGTAAGAGTAACTTTAAGGGCCTCCATAAAATACATTTTTTTAGCTATTTTACATAAACAATTGTTAAATATTGTCTCCAAAGGATTAATTATTTCTCATTATCATCATTTGGCTGGCTAGGACCAAGAAGTTCGTTATTCTATTTTTTGTGTCAACAACGCCGCCAAAGACTTCATCGCAGAAGGCTTCATCGAGAGAGAAGCAGCAACAATCTCATCGATAAAAAGTGGTCCTCGCTGCGTCTATCGTTGGAGGAAAGCGCTAGGTTAATGTGCCTTCTACTAAATGCTTTGTGGAAATGAAGTCAAAGACAACGAAGGTGAACACGAAGAAGGAAAAGTGAGCCTCTGTTCATTGTGATTCTTGCACGATTTTGTTGGTATGTCTCAAAAATTCTTTCCATTTCATCTTCTTCTGTTTGTGTAATTGCAAAAAATGTGTGATTTTAAGGTTGAATGATTGCAAGTGGATTCGGTGATTTAGCATTGAATTGGGTCTGCAATTTTTTTGGGGCGTGTGATTTGGGTTGATGAGTTGTTCTGAGAGGTTTCATCGTCAAACTTCTAGCTACACTCCCAAAAAATGCAGCAAAATTCTCATAAAAAAAATCAGAAAAAATCCCAAAAAGTAAAGCAAAATCCCTCCAATATTTTATGATATTTATTCTTGTAGCCCATAATTGATTAAATTTGTATAATATATAATTGAATTACTATTTTTTAAATTTTATTATTGAAAATTAGTTGAATTGGTTAGGTAAAATACATAGTATTTTTGAAATAAATTTAAAAAAGTGATTAGTTAAAATAAATAATATAATATTTAAATATATTTTGATTAAATATTTTAAATAACATTATTAAAAATACTCTAAATAGACCAGCTGCCGCGTGTGTACCCTTTTTTCGCATGATGCTAAGCTATTTATGTAGGGATCACTTGACGACTGAGGGGCGGGGGGAGGGGGGGGTGTGTAGCTCCTCTTCTCTACAGTAGAAATGTATAAAAAAAAATTCAACAAATTTACATACCAAGAATCGCAAATTAAAAATTATATTTACACAAAATCAATATATATGTTAAGGAAAAGGAGGATACGCAAAAAGTAAATGCAAAAATCCTGTTGTATAAATTCATTCCAAAAAATAAGGAAAAATATTGTTTGAAATTCAAATAAATGATTCGGGCCCCACATCAATCCAAACATCAGCGCCAAAACTCCTACATGAAAAACGCACACAAACTGTGCTTTCCATTCCAGAAACAAAACGGCCTTCCAATTCTATATATATATGTATATCCATTTCCCTCTCTCACCGCCACAGTTCAAAATGCGTTACGCTTTTTTCAAGGGTTTTATCAAGCCATAAAATCTGCGAAGACAGCCACTTGCAATCGCAAACGCCTCATCATCCTCTCAGCCTGAAACCTATCATCTATCGGCGAATACGTCATTTTACGGCCACAATACTACTGTTCTCCGGTAATTAAGTTGCCTAATCAGGTTTTTTTTTTGTGGTTTGGATTATATTTGATTATCGAAATTTACATGTGTATTCGGATTGGACTGCGTTGCTCTGTTTTTGTTTCGTTGATGGAAGAATTGGAGGATAGCAATGGAAAGAATGCCTAGTGTTGTCTCTGTTGAGTTCAGCTTTTGTGTGTGTGTGGCCGTCCTCAGTAATGAGGAATTTATGGTTTTAAATATGATTGTGTTTTTTTTTAGATTCTTGCTAAACAAACAGAGCATTAGCTAAACTTCCGTGTTGATATTGGTTATTGGAAGTGCTGCACAAATACCGTACATGTCGGTTTCAAATTTTGTTATTACAATAGATAATTAGAGAGAGAGAGGGAGGGAGAGAGAGAGAGAGCTGAATATATAAGCACACGGACCAATTAAGAAAGAAATGTGATAAGAAGGATGAATTGTTGATGAAAATAAAAGGGACAGTTCCAAAGAGGTGTCCCCTTAGGCATTAAATCTGAAGAAAGCCCGATCTGTAATTTCAAGTGCACAGAAATCTAAAACTCGTGAAGGGCAAGAAGTAGAGCGGACCAAACTCAGTAGAGAGGGCCTAATACGGTGATGGCTTTGATGATTGTGGAAATACTTAATCTTAGGTCGAGAAAGTATGAAATCTTTCGTAGTGGCAGTTGTTCTAATGCTTTGTTTTTTGCAGCATAATTTGCTGTTTATTTTTCCAGATATAATTGCATATGTCGGTGATGCTAGTTTTCCTTTTTCTTTTGTTTTCCTTTTCCTTTTTCCTATCTTTTTGCAGGAACAATTGCTTCAACATGTATAACCACCATAATGATCCGCCTTCTCATATGGAAACCACATGTGGTTCACTTCTCTCTGAATTACAGGTTTGAAATTTTTTGCGCCAATTCTTGGACCTTTGTACGCCGATTAGATGTTTTTCCTTTTCTCTAGCAACCTTGTGATAATATCATCGAATGGTGATGTTTAGTTTTGTATTTCACAATCTGTTATCTGAATCAGAAAATATGGGATGAAGTTGGGGAGCCTGATGTTGAAAGGGACACGATGCTTCTTGAACTTGAACAAGAGTGCCTTGAAGCATATAGAAGGAAAGTGGACCAGGCAAACCGTTGTAGGGCTCAGATGCGTCAAGCAGTTGCTGACTCTGAAGCAGAGCTTGCATACCTATGTGCAGCATTGGGCGAGCGACCAGTACATATAAGGAAGGTTAGGAGCCTTAGCATAGACTTCAGCCCCTCTTTAATCACACATAAGAAGTATTTTTGATTAGTTTCAATCTTTTCCAATTGCTTTCATGTCTGCAGTTTGAACAAAGCACTGCAAGCTTGAAGAAAGAGCTTGAACTAATTACGCCTCAACTAGATGAGATGCGAAAGAGAAAAAATGAGAGGAGACGTCAATTTGTAGAAATTCTGGATCAAATACATAATATTTCAAAGGAGCTTTGTAGATCCACAGAAGATAATCTATTCACGATGGCAATTGATGAGAGTGATTTATCCTTAAAACAACTTGAAGAGTTACAAAGACAGTCGGTCACACTCCAAAAAGAGAAGGTTCAATTTCTTTTTTGTTTTCCACTTGTTCCCAGTTATTGACTATTATCATACATGACATTTGACAGCATTACTATGAGGCATGGATTTCTTTTTGGGTAGGTAGGACAGGGGTTTTAAAAGTAATATTGCAGTTCTGCATTTGTAGAAGTTTGTCATATTTATAGGTTTTGTACTCAAAATTGTCTCATTGAGATCATTTCTGAACTTGGTGTAATTATTGCGCAGGGTGATCGTCTGAAGCAGGTGCTCGACCACTTGAACACTTTGGAATCCCTATGTTTGGTACTTGGTACGGATTTCAAACACACAGTTAGTGAGATTCATCCCACTCTAGATGGTTCCAGCAGTACAAAAAACATAAGCGTTGATACAATTGAGAGATTGGCTGCTGCAATTTGTAGTTTGAAAGAGGTCAAAATACAGAGAATGCAAAGGGTTAGTAAAGATTTAGCCTCACTATGTGATGTTCACACTGTCTTTACTTGGCCCTGCTGACCCTGTTAACTGCTTCAGCTTCAAGATCTTGCTACTACCATGGTGGAGCTGTGGTGTTTGATGGATACCCCAATTCAGGAGCAGCAAAAGTTTCAGAATGTTACTCAGAATATAGGAGCTTCAGAAGATGAAATTTCTGAGCCCAACATTCTCTCTTTGGAATTCATCAACTTTGTATGTAATTCCTTTTATAGAACGGATTTTCATTCATGCACATGTACCTGATACCTTGACATATGTCAAGTTTATGTTAGGGAGTAACAATAGCATTAAAATATTCCTTTGCAGGCTGAGGCAGAAGTGTTGAGGCTGCAACAGATAAAATCAAGTAAAATTAAAGAGGTTCTCCTGAAAAAGAAGTTGGATTTAGAGGAACTCTGTAGAACGGCACACATGGTTGCAAAAGCACATGCACAAGATTATTCTGTTGAAGCTGTAGAGTGTGGTAAGAGTCCAATTCAATATATTCAGGAAAATAGATGTGGTGGTTAAAAGTTAAAACTATAATATAAGTGATTCCCTCCGGAGGACAACCTTAATTTTTTTCTTGAGATAACATCAAGCTGTGAGCTGCTAAGGAGCGAATGAGCCAGCCATGTGAGCTGTGTTTTAAAATTGTTAAATAATCTAGTACGTAAGATTCAACACATCTTTCCTCCTAAATTAGCCTCATTATTATGTGGAAATCAATATTATTGCTGGTGTAATCTCATTTGCAGGGGCACTTGACCCTTCCTACCTTCTGGAACAAATTGAGCTTCAGATATCCAAGGTTAAAGAGGAAGCTTTTAGTAGGACAGACATACTTGAAAAGATTGAAAAGTGGTTGGCTGCATGTGAAGAGGAGTGCTGGCTAGAGGAGTACAACAGGGTTGGAGTTTTTGTTGTTTGTGAATGATTTTCACTTTACTTTTCCAATCATGCTTCCCTGTTCTGAAATATGCCGTTATTACAGGATGACAACCGTTATAATGCTGGAAGGGGCACACATCTTATTTTGAAGCGTGCAGAGAAAGCTCGAGCTTTGGTAAACAAAATTCCTGGTAAACATCTTGTTTAATTAGCATTTATATCCTTATCTTTATACTTGTGGGGTTGAAGATTTGTTGATCCTCGATTTACGTAAATAAGTTTGTATTTTATCATTGTTTTTATTATTTATTTGCTTCCATTTTTTTTTGGCTTCACAAATGAACAAACCTATGATCGTGGGATGCTATGCTTGATGCTGGGAAAAGATGTTTTAAATTTCAATTCAGATTTCTCATTTATATCTATATAATAAAACAGGAGTGTGTTTGAATTTTATCCCAGTCATATTTTTCTCCTCAAAATTATCATCAATCATTTACCTCACCCATCATCCTTTTGTCATACTCAAACGTCAAATCACATTACTCATTTCTATCACATATTTAATCATTTTTATATTTCCTCCCTAAAAATATCACACCATTCATTTCTATCATATATTTAATCATTTAATATTTATTTAATTTGTAGTTAATATATTTTGAAAAAATTTAATATAATGAGATCGATTTTTTGGACGCTCCAATTTTATATTTTATTGTGCCTTCAGGCATGGATTATGACTAGTATATCTATATTAGACTTGAAAAAGATGTCTGTTTTTGGGTCCCAGTAAAAAAAAGTTGAAATGAGGTAGTGTCCTAGCATTCTATTTCTGTTATAGCCAGTTGAATCCACTTTTACTTCCATTCGGAAACATTGGTGCAGTAAATTCATAGACATATTTGATGCAGAAAAGAAATTGGAGCATAAAATTTTATCATGCATAAAATATCTTTGTTTTTACCATCGGGCATTTTCATGAGTTTATTCTTGATCTGGTTTGTGTTGGAGCAGCAATGGTGGAGACATTGACCGCAAAAGCCAGAACTTGGGAGAAGGAAAGAGGAGTTGAGTTCTCATATGATGGTGTAAGCACTTGCACTGATTTTTTTTCAAAATTGTTCTCAGTCCACTGCATCTCATTTGCTTGTGATTATTAGTAATCTTTCCTGAAAATTGTTCAGATTCTTCTCATGATATATTTGATCACCCAGGTTCGTCTTCTTTCCATGCTCGAACAATACAGTGTCCTAAAGCAGGAGAAAGAGCAAGAGCGTCAAAGGCAGAGGGTATGGGTCTCGTTGGCTACCTAATCCTGCAAGACTGGAATTAATGAATAGGTTTATCTAACCCGAGCACTTATTATTTGTATTTTAGGACCAGAAGAGACTTCAGGGACTGTTGATCGCAGAGCAGGAAGCACTGTTTGGCTCAAAACCAAGTCCAACAAAAAGTGGGAAGAAAGTTTCTAGACCTTCAATGGGTGGTTCATATAACAACAGATTCTCACTTGGAGGAGCGATGCTTCAAATTGCAAATGCTGAGAAAATTGGTCATTCTTCTTCTATCCTCAAAAAGAGTAACCGTGTGAAGCAGCAAACTTTTCAAAATCAGTCTCTATCCTCTGGTAGTCACTTCAAACTTTATCATTTTAAAGTAATTTTTCTTATAGTTGATTGTTTTGTGGGATGCAAATTCGTCTGGGCGTGTTGGAAGGGAGGATATTCAAGCACCATAACCAGGCAATTTAACCACTTTGTAAATGATGCTGGAACCTCCATTATCTGCCCCTATATAATTCAGTGAAATCAGATTGTAGCAGCATACGATTTCCAGGCTGCTGCAATCCACACTTCAAAGTTATGTGCTTTATATAGTCTCATGTGTTTTTAATACACTTATTCTTATTTTGGTTATATTAGTGCTCTCTTTTATTCTATGGTGTGAATTTTATGCAGCTAAGAGAAACCTAGACGCCACTGGTCTTGCAGGAAAGCAGCATTCCTTCAATTCGTCAAACACACAGGAAATTAAATCAGCACCGTTAAGGAAGCCCCTATCTCCTGTATCTTCTGCATTATTGTCCAATGTCAATATACAAAATGGGATCAGAACAGAACATGAACCACTTAAAAGAACACCCCCCAATAGCAAAACTCCCGAGGCAACTCCGACCAAGGAAATTTCGGTTGTTGATGAGGAGATCAGTACCCCGAGGACGATGCCAATTCCAATGCCACCTACTCCTTCAACTGTTTCAGTTGCCATGCAGACAGCTATGACCCCTGCTACCCCTTGTTTTCCTCTTGGTGAAGACATTGAATTTTCTTTCGAGGAGAGCCGATTTGGTTTTGTCCTTCCCAAAACAAATCTGAAGCCACTGGATTAGCACTATGGGGATGAACCTGATTGACATTTGTTCTTCCATTTTTCAAGGTATTCATTCTTTCTTAAGCCCTTATAAGTCAATTCTTTTTGGCTTCTTGACATGTATAGTATTCCAACGAAGAATCGTTTTGGAAGTAGGAACCTTATAACAAAGTGCAATCTATTGATGCCAAAAGTCAATAGATGGGATCTGAAAGATGTGTTCTAGTATTGTGACTATGGAACAATAGAGCTATGATTCTATGATATGAACAGTTGTAGGTTTTAATTTCGAAACATATTCCTGGTGTAGTTGGTTGGGAAAGGACACTGTTTACGTCGCATTATCTTATGCATTTGATTGACCTTAAAATGAATGTGGCAGGAGATGAACCAATTTAAACCATGCAATGTTTTGAGTAATTCTCTTTCCCCATATTCTCTTATTCTCTCTCTCTCTCTCTCTCTCTCTCTCTCTCATAAAAAATTGGGGAACTTGACTTTTACCCGGGTCTGAAAAACTAGGTTGGTTGGTGTTTGTTTTTATGTTCATTCACTTGCCCATGCCCTCGCCTAGTGAAATGGTTCATATTTTTTCAGCAATGGTAACTTGAAAATAAAGTCCATTGTTATAAATCTTATGTTTCTCCACCTCACAATAATTGGCTACTTATCATTTGAATTATAATCCTTTTGGGTATATTTAATCATTGATAATTTAGCTGGAATCTAGGCATAATTTGGATTTGACTAAGAGAAAATTTGGAATTACAAGTGGAAAATCAAGAACCTTATTGCTGAGTGTGACATTTGATATCAAATATAATTCATATGGCAGATACATAATGAAATATAATTTATATGTAGTCAACTTGTTGAACGGAGAAGTTAGCGGTTGATTAAATGATTACTGCATTGTTATTAATTTTTATGGTTATATATTTGAATTTCGTCGTTTCTATTCTTGTAATAGTGTTTAACCCAAAAATATAGGACAAAGCATTTTGGATTGGTACACATGTGGACCAATTGTGATTAAACTACACTAATTAAAGTAGTCAATCTCGTGATCAAAGAAAGGAAGAAAAAAGTGTTTAACAGTGGAAAATCTAACTGGGGGATTTTCTCCTATAGTGCAAAATCAAGGTCATGTTTGGTTAGTTTTTCAAAAATTATTTTTTGTTCTCAAAATTTCAAAAATATCAAAAACTTATTTGTTTAATTTTTTTGTTCTCAAAATTTTGAGAAAAAATGAGATTTGAGTCAAAAAAAACAGAAAACAAGTTTAGCTTGTTTTCAGAGTATTTTTTGGAAATTTTGAAAACAAGGAGAACAATTTTGGACTTTAATGAGGTAATCTTCTTAGCATTAAATTTCTTCATTTTTTTTTTAACTTCTTCCTCTCTCTCATAATATATAATATATTTATATACATTATGAAATTGTCAATATAAAAATAAATTTTTTATATATTTTTATTAATGTTTGAATTATTGTTCAAATATATATTTAGGCTTTTCAAACAGGTTTTACTATTTTCTGTATTGTAAAATTGTTTTTGAAATCATCTAACCAAATAAATTTTTTATCTCAACAAATATCAAAACCACTTTCTTAAAAAAATTTTCAAAAACTATTTTCAGATACTAGTTTTTGAAACGCAAACCAAATAGACCCCAAAATTTTGGGATAGTTGTTAAGTTTGATTTTTAAAATATTGGTGAGTGATGCACAAAATTTATAATATTACTTTATGAGTAATGTTATTTAGATATAAAAATATGACATAATTTACTGATATAATTATGTGGTTTGATAAAAATCATTAGATCAACACTAAGTATTATTTGGAAAAGTAGTGTATTATTTGTATAAGAATTAAAAATAAGACTATATTTAATACATAATATTTTTGGTAACCAAATATTGTATAAGGTTGAATTAAAGAGTCTTAATCTGTTATAACTATGTAATCCACCATTTAATACTGCAATCAACAATAAATCGCGATACTCCCGACTCCAATCATGCTCTGACGTAACCACCGCAATGAATATTTAGGTCATGCTAGCAAGATTCACGCTCACATCCCTTAAGTGCAGTCAAATACATTAATTATCTGGATAAGACGCATTGTAAACCAGTCCAGTGGCATAATTAGTAATTAACCCCAAACTTCAAGGGCATAATTTACTTCTTACGAATACTGTCGGAAAAGACAAAAAAGGCTAGTCGGCATCGTGAATAAGATTTAGGGGTATCAGTCGTGTCGGATTAAACGGTTACATATCAGGTTAAATGGATAACGTGTAAAAAATGTATAAACTCATACACGACACATTTAATAAACGGAAAAAAAATTTTAACACGAAACACGACTCGTTTAACCTATTTAATTTTAAAAAAA